TTTAAAAAATTATAATAATGATAATTATTGGGAAATGCATGGAAAAGACATTGAATGATAAAGCGGGGAGATTGATGTCTCTGTATTGACTGACATGCATGGCATTCCCTTTTGAAAAAGCAATGGAAGTCAATGTAAAGTTATATGTAATCCAATGTAATATAAAGAAGATTATGATGATAATATAAATAAAAAAAAATAGGAGGGATTTAAACATCTCTCACTTCTGAGGAAGGAGGCCTGAAGATACAAGAAATTGAAAGTGTGAGAAAAATGAGATCCATTACACCAACTGCTGATCCAGAATACACATAGTAGAATTAACACTGAACAATATCAGGACTGAAAAGAGCAGATTTAGTCCCTGGTAAAAATGCTGTCTGTCCCCAACAAGAACAGGCAGGCAAAAATCTCCACGGGATTAGTATTGCTATCTAATACTTGGCCTGGAGTTCTGTGCCTCCTTCTGGCTGACTGGAGCTGGCCATTTTTAACCAGTAGTCCTCCCTGCTCTGCCACCACCTCCAATCTGTTGGCTGGGGACAGGTCCAGGGAATGAAGAAAGGATGGGTGCTGATGCAGGCAAGTCGCAGGCTTATTGTAGGATCCCAGCCGGAAGTGCTGGTTTGGTAGCTTCTGGTTTTTTTGTTTGCTTGTTTGTTTTTTTCCACAGAAGTGGGAGTTGAGGTCATTTGTTATTACTTAATTGTGCTGATGGTAGTGGGCTTTCAGATGTGAGGAGAATGAGGTTGGATATTTTTATTATGGAGAAGGGGAGAATATTAGGAACTGCTGCTGTAGTAAAAGGTAGAGAAAGCTCTTTACAGGAGCCTGGAAGAATTAGGTGGAGTTCAGATTGATGACATGAATTCATGGTTGGCAGAACCTGCCTGGTTGTGCAGTTTGCTTCGGCAGTGCTTAACAGTCTTGGGGCAGACAGGGAAGTGAGGATCCAGGGCTGAGTTCTCTCTCTCTCTGTCTCTCTCCAATCTTTCAGAGCATGGAGGTGAGCTAGATCAATGAGGCAAGTAATTTAAGGCAGCAAACATACCTCGGCTGAAATGATGGACAGTAAAATCTAGGCACGACGTGGAGAGAAGAGAAGCTATAAGGGGACCTGGAGGAATACAATTGAGGGTACTATGGACTATATCAGTGATTATCAGAAATCATGTGGGAGGGCCCAGATCCTGAAGTGATTATTCAATAAGTCTGGAATGAAGACCAGAATCTTTATATTCAACAAACTTTTGTGGTTGTTTTTTTTTTTTTTTTTTTTTTTGAGAAATAGTAGATTTGAAATTATAGCAAATTTAAAGAAGCAGCATTTTGAGAATAGCTGAGTGAGAAGGGAAGAGAGAGAGAGTGAGCATGAGTTAGAAGGACAGGTGGTTGTAGTGTGAGATGACACCTTTATTATCTCAGAGATGAAACAGCCCTGAATGACGAAAGTTTCAGGGAGTGGTCGAGGGTGTAGGCAGCTGAAGTGGAGTGAGGGCGAACAGCACCAGAAGTGAAGCGTTCAAGGTACAGATGTCTAGTTTACCTATGTGAACCTTAAAGCCACCCTGAATGATGGCAGTGTCTCTTGGGACAGAGAAGCAAAACTGTGATCAAAGATCAAAGCCACTGGTAAATGATA